ACGTGGGGTTCCGGGGTCGTCATCAGCCTCAACAGTGCCCAGATATACCGTTCGCTGAACAATAACGAGTACGACACTGCCACAAATACGATGTACTCGGCCATTCTTGGTGTTGGGAACGGTGTAAGCCGTTTGGCAATGGGAGTGCTGGAAGTTATGCTTCTCCGCCGGCCTCCAGAGCAGCGCCCGGCAATCAGCTGCCTTCTTCCGATTGCATCGTGTTGCTTGTTCCTAAGTGTGTTGGTGCTGCTGGTGTTGCCGCTGCGTTCCAAGGCCATCATGATTGGGTTCTTCCTTGGCGGGTTTGGCAACGGCTCGGCCTGGGCGCTCACGGCCCTGGTGATGCGCTCCCTGTACGCGAAGGACATTGGCAAGCACTACAACTTTATGTTTTTGGCGGCGCTTCTTGGCATTATTGCGATCAATCGCTTTGCGTACGGAGAGCAGTACACGCGGGCGGCGAGGAAGGGCAACTCCTACCCCCACTGCGGCGGAAAGGCATGCGTCCAGAACGGGTTCATCGTTCTGCTATGCGTAAACGCGTCTGCTATTGTTACCAGCGTCCTTGTGCACATCCGCTTCACCCGCCACGTCAGGAAGACACGTGCTGCCCTGGAGGCGGGTGAACATGAGCTTAACGCCCCTGACACTGAGCACCGCATGGACGGAAACTCCCTCAATGCAGAGAAAAGAGGCAGCCGTGACAGCATGCAAATGTGATCTGCGGGAAATTTGTTTACCTAATTTTTTTCTTATCCCTTGCTTTTGTTCCTTCCCTTCTGCAAAAATAACAACAGAAAACATTTTTTAATTTTTTTGAATGATTACTTAAGGGGACTTGGAAAGGAGTCGTGAGACTCTGCGTGCGTCTGGAAGCAACAAGAAAAACGATACCAAAGCCTAATTTTATTCTCTTGTCACTCCTTCCATATATATATATATGTATAAATATATATATATATATGTTTACGGATGTGGTATTTAAGGCCCACCCCGCGGGAGGCGGGTTACGGGTACCTGCGGCGCCTTCTATTCAGCAGTGTAGTGCTTACTAATAACGCGGAGCCGCCTTTGGGGTCAGTGGAGGCTACTGAAATGAGGCAGCTGTGCTGTGTGTTGAAGGCTTGAGGAAATAATCAGTCTGTGTTGTTTTTGTCGTTTTTTTTTTTAGTATTAGGTACTATTAGGGTCGTTACGCGGCCTACATTAATTTATTGACGTTTTTGTTGTTGGTTTGTTTCCGTGTTTGCGGAGGGCGTGCGGGAGGGATGCTCTCTGCCTACTGGTGGTGCACATATTGAACTGCCCTACAGTGAAGTTTTTATGCCGTTTTATTCCTCTAACAGTGACACAAAAAAGAAAAGAAAATAAGATGGGGTAAGTGCTGCAGGTAGGGCTTGCAAGCAATGACGCTCGCCACAGCACGGTGATTATGTTCGGGTGTGGGGGTTGGACGTCGGGCACGCGGGCAGTTGCGTCTTGGGTTGGGGCGCAACGGCCCAGATGCTCTTTTGGTTTGAATTCCGCCTGGCGCAGGCGCCCCGTCTGAGTTATTGTTTGGGTTCCACTTGCAGTTTGGAAGCGGTTGGGGGGGGGGGGGGGCATATCGCTCATTACGGGCGGGGTTGGGCCGTGGATATTGGTCGCGTTGTCGGGTTCGATGATCTCCTTCACCGTGTCGCGGAACTCAGGCTTCCCAGTGGAGGTTTGGGGAGCGGGGCCGAATGGGCATCCCTGGAAGGGCGGGAGGCGGCGCCGTATCACCGGTACGAGTGTGGCAGGGCCCAGCTGAGCGGCCAAAGAGTTCAGGCTGCAGTGCGTTGTATTCAGCGGCGAGCAGCCAATTGGCGGAGGGCGCACCTGGTGGGAGGGAGGCGCGGCATTCCGGTAGTGTGCTTGTTTTTTTTTTTTCTTTCCGCGTGGTGTTGGGCGTTGTGGGCTCCCGCAGGGCGAGGGAGGCGGAGGCACGGCGCCCGGCGGCAGTTAGTGCCTGACAGGAGCGGCGAGTTAACCAGCGACACCGACCGCACGACGGCTGCGCTGCGGCGGTGCGTCGCAAATGCGCCGGCCACCACAAAACAAAACAAAAAAAAGGACGTGTGTGTTGGCAGTGGCAGGGGCAACGGGTTGGAGAAGGTTGAGTGTTTTTGTTGTCTGTTGTTTCAGTTTATATATATATATATCATTGTTTTTTCCACCTCTTCCCGCAGACAAGGCCTGGGCTCTTACCACTACCAATGCGACTAAAGCGGAGGCAACAAGTGCAGTTTCTTCGGGTGGTGCGCCAGCCACGTTGCTTCTCCTACTAACGGTGTTCCCCCTGCTGCTGCTGTTGGTGTGTTGCGCCGCTGCGGGCTTGGCGAGATGATGGGGAGCGGCCCGCCGGCGACTGCGGTGGTGCGTGATGTGCCGCGCAGAGGACAGGGCGCGACACAGGCGTGGAGAGTGAGTGTGCCCCGATACGTGTCAAGGTGTCTGCGAAGGACATGGACGATCCGTCGAAGCACTGCATCGCGGAGGGGGTTGCGTGCAGGTTCGACAATGGCCGCTGGGTGAGATGCGAAAAGGACGATCCGTTGACGGAGGCGAAGGATGACATTGTTTTGAAGCAACTCCTCCCGGCAGCGATTAAGCTGCACGCCGAGCGTCTGTCCGTGGTGCCTGTGGAGGGCCCCATCCGTATGCTGTATGATGTTATAGGGGCGTGCAGCAGTCTTACCATCCCTTCCCGGCACCGCACGACCGGCGTAAGCGGCGCCGACCTGATTCTCTACGTCAACACTCTCCCGACTGAGGGCCCCATCCGTATGGACGTCTTTGTGCGTCACTC